GTGAGTGTGAAGTGACCACAAATATATGATCCTTAACTGAATAGCATAACTGTGCATAAGACAGCGACCCGTTATAAAGAAATACCTAACAATTCGTTTTGCTGAGGCAAAGTCTGCTTGCTGGGCAGCGCTCAAGGCTATGTATAAATGGCACCTCGCAAGTAGCGTACGATCATCTAATTCAGCTGCGATCCTCATTTGATTTTCCGAAATTTCACCAGCACGTTTTGCCTGAACAATGTAAGGAAAAATAGATTTGCAATGAAATTGTAAGCGGATCAACTTACAAATGAGATATCATAATCAGCCATGGCAGAACATGCACCACCTAACGTGGACAGATTCCACATTAATCGCTCTAGTTCGAGGTACTTCATATACAAGTATAGCATTCGTGATTCCCTTTGAAAATATTATTTTCGTCAGGATACACAAACAAAAGCAAACAGATAATGGCAATGACACATGCCAGACATAGCATTCTGTGCTCTCACTTCAAGGTTCTGCGCTGCGGGGGGAAAGATACAATAGCATAGTGAGCACAGAAGGCAAAAATGGATATATCCTACATGCCTACTCTACCCTAAACGGGGAGGCGGTCGAGTGGCGCGATTTTTCCCGGCTGTCACTATATATACATGCTAATAACGCAATAAAATGTTATTTTCATAAGCTTTTGAGCTTTTCAAAAAAAATAAGAAGGGAATTCGAACAATGTATCAACTAGATGACAATATATGGGCAATACGAAAGCTTGTGATTTTTGGTTAAACTACAGACAAAAACTTCTCCAGATCCATTTCCTTAAAAGTTTGACTTACATTTTCATATCTTTAAATGGTTTTCTTTTGTTATGATTCTGAAACAAAGTAGACGCCTTGTAGGTCCTTTATTATGGAGAGTAATAAAGATTACAATTAGAAAACTCCATATAATATAGAGCCCACTGGGGATGTGCCCTTAGTTAGTGACAGACAAAATCGCGCCACTCGACATGCACCCCCCTAAACGTTCGGAACTAAACTTCAAAGGTTCTGGATGGAATTCAAATGGGTGCATTTTCTCTGATGAGCCACTGCTCGTAAAAGAAAGGAGCTGTGGAAGAGGTACAGATTACTGTTGACGGCAAGAATAGCTCACCATTTGTAGTCAATACACTCCATAGGGATATTTGGCAGAAACAACCTCACTACGAAGTTCTAAACGGCCATTTTAAATTGCATGACAAGAACTAAAGCAAAA